CCCCAAGGTCTTTGATCTGGCGGTAAGAACGCAACGTGTAGCCTTCTTGGATGAAGCATTCGGGGTCTTAGATTCGAGCTAGCTTACACTTCTATTTTGTCGTAGCTTATAAATCTCAAAATTCATGCAAAGATTGGAAAACAATGTGGTCTAGTTGGATCTTTTTTTGACAAGGCATCACCTAGTTGGATCTTGACTGACATGACACATACACTTATACTATCTTCTCACATGGCTGCTAATTTTGTTGGGGATTAGACGCAAATACCACTTTAAAGCACTCTGTGGTCTAGATGCTATTCTTCTAGTTTCACTCGACATATTTAACTAGTTCAAAATGTAAAAAGGATTAGCTAAGTTTTCTTTCTGATACTGTCTTTAATTCCTTTGGATATCTTCTCCATTGCTTTTTGAAGGATTTCATTTCCTCTGCTAATTGTCATGATCTCATAATTGTTATGACTGCTATCTTGTTACGTGATGAAAATGTGCAAGTAGCGGCATGAGGGAAAGTCTTTGTAAAGATAATCACTTTAAACTGTTTCATGTCTAATGATATATAGACTGTAAATCGTATACTCTAGTGGAAAATGATTATCCATCAAGAAATAAGTTAAAAGAATTATGTACTTGACATAAAAGCAAAACTGTCTCTTTTTCCTTATAAAAAAAAGTACTTGGCATAAATAAAACTTAAAACTATGTACAAATGCAGTCTTAAGTTTCTTGTAAAATAAGTTGAGGTATAAAGTTATATTTGGTCATAAAAAAAAGAGAATATTAAGGTTCTTAGAATGCTTCCTCAAGACTTTAATGGAGCATTTTTCCTTCCTTTCCATGACTTGCTTTCCCCCCACCACATTCCTTCCTTTGTCTTTTTGGGTAAACTCAATTAAATCCTATCCTGTTTTTTTTTTTTGGGGCTGTGAGTTGTGCCTTTTTTCTCTTCTATATTCCCTACTTATAATTTCTAATCAAACAAGATTGATTTGGAAAGATTAAAAGGACAGACATCTGAAGCAGTTCTCAACCGGTGTGCTAGCTTAGGGGCTAGTTATTTACATGAAATGTACGAAGTAGGATCTTAAAAACATGTCATGTTTGGCCACTCCTTTTGCTGTTAATGGTTTACTTTTCTCTCCTTCATTTGAGGTGATTCTGGATGAGTGTAGAATTTCTATTAATTAGTGATTTGTTGGTTTTGAGGGTTAAAGAGTTGGGAGACTGGTGAATCAGTAACATATGTTTCACTAGGCACTGGTTTACTGTTTTCTGGAGTCGAGCTAAAACTTGGAAATACCTAGTTCCAACAGGTGCTCTGTCGTGCTGTGAGAAGTGCCACATCTGTGGAAGAAAGAGCAAAAAGAAAGGAAATGTTTTATTTCTGTTTTTTTTGTTTATCTATGTTATGAGATCGCTTTAGGCATTTATATGTTGTCTACTTTGTGTTTCTTTGGCTTCTTTTGAGGTATCTCATAGGTTGATTTGCTACATGGTGTCTAGTATGTTTTAGCACATGGGTGCATTACTGTTGGGAAGTATTTTGTTGATATTATTTACCTGTCAAAAAGAGAAACCTTGGGCATCTTACCGAGGGTTGGATTGCAATATACATTTTAAGAATAGTAGGACTGCTGCCGAATTCTTGAAAACTTCTTCTTAAAAGGATTTGGAAACCTACTAACATGTTGTGGCAGTTCATAAGTGTAAGACCTTGTTGACACTTGTCTAGTCACCTTACCATCTTTCACTGGCTTGGTTTTGCTTGCTAAATTTAAACATACTGCTCGGCAGATGCCTTGCGCTCGTGTATCGTGACATGTATTTTGGTAGATCGCTTCTAATTGTTTTGAATGAACCTTTTTCTACTTTTTCCCCTGCATTGAGTGTTCTCTTTCTTGTACAGATTTGCTATCTGCTATTCGGAAAGCAGTGGAAGATGAAAAACTGCCGCTTAATGTTGCTGAAGGGATGGAGGAGTTGTATCATAACTATCAGAATGCAGTAAAATAACTTTCTTCAGCCTTTTGATTAATGTACTTTTTTGGTGTTGGGTTCTTTGTCAGCTTAAATGTGTTTGGTCATACATGTAAGAATCTTCTTGAATGGACTTACTTTCTGGGGGTATAACATGCTATCTTAGGGTACTAAAGAACATTATAATATATTTAAGATGAACAACAACAACAACAACAACCTAGTAAAATCCCATAAGTGGGGTCTGGGGAGGGTAGTGTTTACGCAGACCTTACCCCTACCCCGAAGGGGTAGAGAGGCTGTTTGCGAAAGACCCTCGGCTCAAGATAATAAAAAGACAAAAGGAGAGAATATTAGATTCACCACGGAGATCATAGGAAAAAAGGAACATAAAATGCAGAAGAAAAATGCAAAGCAAAAACGATGGCTAGTAAATGGATCCTGCGTAGAAAATAGAAAATAGTAAGATACGACATTGCCCCTAACTATCTTAGACAAAACCCCAGCGGACTAGGCTCACAAAGGTACAAAGTAACGCAAGACTCAACTACCTCCTAGCCTACAACCGT